AATACAACTGTATTGTATAATAAAATACAACTGTATTTTATAGTTGTCCCACAAGTTTAGAACAAGTAGAAAGTCACAGAGCCTTGTCAGGGTGTCTTAAAGCTAAATAAATAAATTTATTTAAAACTAAATAAATTTAGCCTTGTCAGGGTGTCTTCGAGGTGTGCAGTGGTCAAGGAATACCAATTTCTGGCTTTAGGTCTAAGTATCAGATCCTATGATACTTCAGAGGTATCATAGGATCTATTTTTGATCTTGTAAAACAGGAATAATTATGTCTTCCCCACCTAACTAATATAGCAGTAAATATTAAATGGGCTAATGTGAAAGTACATTCCAAATTTTAACTGATTGGACTATATAGATATAAGGAATAAAGGTAATATAATCTCTTATACCTTTTTCAGCTTTGGGAATTTGTTACCGTATGAACATACAATATGGACCTAACGTATAATTTCATCTTTTATGAAACCACAGTTTATCACAGCATGAACTACTATGCAGTTTTCATTATTTACCAATTTATGACATTACAGGACCTGGTAGGAAAAATCCAGATATGAGGAACTATGATCTTCAGGGAACAGAAGGATCTTCTGCATAAGACCAACAAGATCAGTGCAGCAATAACCAACACCAAAAGGAGATAGAAGCAGAGCCCCTATGGTTGTGGCAAAAGATAAATTGGTGCATAAAATTACTAATCTCAAAGAAAGTTATATAAAAGCTGATATAACTTTACACAGTGATTTGAATGAAGAAAATAGTTTAAGGGCATTAATAAGCACATCCGACTTTATAAAGTAGTCAGTCACTGTAAAAACTTAGTATCTAGAGATTTGGTATAGACAGGTTTTTTTTTTAATTTATTTTTTTGAGATGAAGTCTGGCTCTGTTGCCCAGCCTGGAGTGCAGTGGCGAGATCTCGGTTCACTGCAACCTCTACCTCCTGGGCTCAAGCAATTCTCCTGCCTTAGCCTCCCAAGTAGCTGGGATTACAGGCACCCACCACCATGCCCAACTAATTTTGGTATTTTTAGTAGAGACTGAGTTTCATCATGTTGGCCAGGCTGGTCCTGATTAATGAATGACCTCAGGTGACCCACCTGCCTTGGCCTCACAAATGCTGGGATTACAGGTGTGAGCCACTGTGCCCGGCCATAGATAGGCTTTAAATAGGTCACATTTAGCCCCCAGAATAGGAAATCAAATATAAGAAAAAACTAGTCTTAAAGGATTTCATAGCTAAGAAAAAATTTATCATTTCAAGTGTGTTCTTTAAAATAATCCCTTGTATCCTACCTTCTACCCTATACCCAAATTCTAAAAGAATGAAGTACCTTCACAATTACTCCATTTTCCTCTGTCTTTTTGTATTCTGAGGTAGTACAAAAGCTATAATTTAAGCAATTGCTTCTTTGTGATTTCATCTTATTTGTCTTCCCCATTGGAGTTCCAAAGAACTTAATTTTTTAAATGTGTCTTTATGGAGGACATTCAAAGTAGCATTATTATACCACCCAACTTAAGAAATATATATATATTCTATCAGGAGCTCAGCTGAGCTGGCCAAGAGCTGTGTTATCAGGTGTCTGGAGTAGCCTATTAAAGCAACAAGCCAAAATTGAAAGAGTTAAGCCTTTAATCATTTACTGCAATAATATAAGCAAGAGTCTAAAACCAGAGGAAATGCTGCGTCCTCCTGTTCTATTATCTCATGCAATAGTACACACTCATCCAGGGCCACATAGAGCAGGGCAGAAGTAAAGGTTCACTCACTCTTGAGAATGCCCCAAACAAAAGGCTCCAGCAGTTTTTGAGACCCTAAGGTCAGGAGGAGTGGCAAAGAGAAAAGGCTAGGGTTGGTAAAGCACTGGGTACTGAGTCAGAGTGGAGAAAGTGTTTCCGCCTCCAACCTCAATAAGAAAGACTTTGTAGAGGCACGGAAAGACCTCCAACCAAGCCCTCAGATAAATATAACTAGCAACAAAGGTTCTGGGAATAGGAATATAAATATGTGAATGTGTATAGGCAGCCAGGGGAGACTGAGAACTTGACTGCAGCTCCCTTCAGAGACTGTAATGCACTTGTTGTACACCAAATCTGGCTTTCTCCCATGAATCCTGCCAGATAAAGCCTTTCTAACAAACAGTCTGTTGAGGCCTGAAAAAAAATCACACATAGGATTTTAATCAGGAACTGGACTCCTCAATTACCAGTATTATTGAAGCACCTTCTGTAGTTCTCCTTCGTTTACCCCCTGCTTCCTGACTTGTGTATTTATCATTTCTTTGTATAAGTATACATACATATACTTAATCATGTTATTTAATTTTGCTTGTCTTTTAACTTTTATAATGGTAGCAATGTAAACATTCTGCTTTGCTTTGTCATTCAATATGTTTCTGAAATTCATCCATTTCAGTAAGTATATAGCCACATTCTTTTTACTACTACACTGTAGTGAATTATGTGAAAATACCCCAACCCAATTTATCCATTCTCCTGTTGGTGAACAATTGAGTGGTCCAATTTTTGTTATAAACCGTGTTGCTATGAACAGTCTTATGATGTCTCCTGGAGCATAAGAGTTTCTCTAGAATAAAGACCATTAGAAACTGGCTGGGTCATAGGAAAACCACATCTTTAACTTTATAACCTAGCCCAAACTGTTTTCCTAAATGGCTGTGATGAAAAATCACCAGCTTTGACTACCACATTTGGTATTTTCAGTCCTTTAAATTTCATTAATTTGATAGGTATAGAATGATATCTCATTGGGGTTTTAATTTCCATTACTGTGAGTATTGATGAGGGCTGAACATAGCTTTATATGTGTATTGACCATTAAATTTCTTCATCTGTGAAATGCCTTTTCACAAATTTTATTTTTCTATTCATTGTATTTCTACTGTTTGGAAGTGTTAAAATATTTTCTTTGCTTTCTTTTCTGTT